AAGAGGATCAACAGGTAAGTTATTAGCATATGAGACTTGAGCAAGTCTGTCAGAATATACAATAGCAACAAAATATTTGAAGTACCTTGAAATGAAAATATAAAAAATTCCACAATACCTCTTGTCGAAAGACAGTAAAACAGATGGAGAGATACACTGTGTTAACGGAACACTCAAAATTGGAAAGTTGTCAGTTCTCCCCAAATTCATCCATTCATAGATGAATGCATCCCAGTGAAAAGTGAGCTCCTGCGTGTGATGTGTGTGTGTTCTGTCTGTGTCTACGGAGTCTGACAAGCTTATTCTAAAATTTATCTGGACATCGAGACCATCTAGAACACCCTCGGCACTTCGGCGGAAGAGAAAGATGGAGAGCGTTCCCTGCTATTACACAGCAATGCTAAGTTGAAGCTCTACTTCTCAACTGAATGTGGGATTGCTCTATCCATGGCAATATGAGCAATGAAACAGGTTGGCGCATTCCAGAAGCCTCCCCACACATATCTGGGCAGTCAGTATGGACAGACCTCACGTTACACACCAGCGGGACGAGGCAGACCACTCGAGAAAAGGTTCTATGACAACTGGGTTGAATACATACATAAAAAGTAAAATTGCAACCCTGTCTCACATAATCCGTAAAAATCGAGCCCAGATATTGCTTGGTGTGGGCTGGGGTGCTGACACACATCTGAAGAAGCATGAACCTACACCCCTAACTCATATATGGTGCTGTAAACCCTAACTGCAGTGAAACACAATACAGTTAAACATTTTTTCTCAAAAGAAGCCCAGATAAAGAGCTGACATGGAAGCAAAACTTATACAGGTTTTACAAGAGAGCATAGTGAGTGTGTTCATGACCGAGGGGGAGATAAGAATACCTTAAGACAAGTCACAAGGCCCCTGAGGGTGGCCTTGCTCTCTGGCGAGGGGGTAGCTCACATTCTCCCTGCTGTATTTCCCAGTCAGGCCCTCTTCAAGGGCCAGGCCAGAAGACAGCTTGAGAGCATTCTAGAGGGTCTTGGTTCCTCTTCAGGCCCAGCAGCAGGACTGGGGCTTCCGCACTTCCTGCGCAGTAATGTGCGAAGAGAAGCAGGTGAACTAGACTGTCCTCCCCTCCAGGGCCCGCGCGGAGGCGTGGACTAGTGGTGTTTCCCCTTGGCCTGACCGGCAGACAAGCCCCAGGATCCCGGCCTCGTGGGAGCCCATCATTAGGGGCTGGGCGGACCCACTGGGGAGAGAGGACTGCACGGTGCCCATCTGTCTGCCAGGGCAGGGGCTAGGGCGCAGCTCCCAGGAACCTGAGGGTCACCGGGCAGAGGGACAGTCCTTAAATGCGATGGTGACTGTTTGGCCAGGAGAAGCGAAGGGATACTGTTCATTGAGTCCTAATCAGCAGGGCAATTGTGCGAGGGGAAGGGAGCCGGGGTGTTTCTAGGAGTAATCAGTGCGCCCTCTCCCTGGCGACCCTTTGATCTGAACCTCAGGAGGCACTAAGGTCCTGGCCATGCTGGCTGCTGATTGTTCTGGTGAGCCCTTGAAGGTGCCGTCCGGAGCAGGGGTGTCCTGCACGCTGCAGTGACCTCCGCTCGGGCAAATGGTGGTTGTAGCCCCTATGAATGCAGCCCAGGTGTCCGCTGCTCTTTACACCTATGAAGAGCGCCCCCAGGTGGGTGAGGGTGAAGCCAATGTGATGTGACCGTGTGCAGCCTGTTTAGGGACAGCAGCTGAACAGCCCCTGGCCCGGACTGCTCGAGGTCACGACCCACTGGCGCCCACCCCAGCTGCAGGGACTTGCTTCCTGTTGAAACAGGTGCTCGGGTCCTTTGAGGGTGCAGCCCTGTCCCAGGGCCCACCCCTCCCCCAATCTGGACCTGGGCTGGCCCTGAGGTCTCTGTCACGCAGCTTCCCCTGCCCAGCGCACCCAGCTGCTAGGGACTTCGTTCTCACCTGTCTCTAGACCAGCCTCTGACTGACGTCAAGAAATCAGTGACTTGGTGAGCTGCCTTGTCACCGTCCCTAAGATGCCACTGTGGTGTCTGCCAGGGACTAGAGTCTAGCAGAAGAGGCCTTGGGACATGAGCCGACAAGGGGCAGAGACGCTGATGTCTGATGTCTTCCACGGGAGAGTAGTCTGGGCGGAGCAGTGGCTGCTCTGTGTCACTTCTCTGAGTCCCGTGTGAGCGCTCACGCGTGCTATGGCATCTCGCTCTCCCAGAAGGCCTGTGCTGAGGCACGGCCATGATCTGCGCGTACAGGCAGGGGAATACTATGCGGCCATAGTTCTTTGGAAGCTCAAAGAAGCCATTGACATCGCACTGGGCCCAATAAAGAGACTGCCCGTACAGTTCAATCCCATTGAACTCACTGGCCAGAGGCCTTTCCCCCTACCCCCGCCCCCCATAACTGAGTCAATATCCACCTGTTTTTCTTAGGACTGGGACCATGTTCAGATCATTATTAAGAGAGTGCATTAAGGGCCTCCCCCTGTGGTGCAGCGGTTGAGCGCTGGGCTGTGAAGCTGTCCGCAGCCTCTGCAGCGCTAATTTGATCCCCAGCCACAGGCGAGGGTCCCCCATGGCACGCAGACCTCTCCTGCGGCCCGCTCTCCCCTCAGCGGTGTACTTCGTCTTCTGCCTATTCTGTTCCCCGCTCTGGCTCTGGTGAATCCTCTCACCCTCCCGCACTTCTGACTGTACCCAGTGCATGTATAAATAAATAAATAAATAAACCTTTAAAAAAAGAGAGAGAGAGAGTGCACTAAAATCATAACAAGTAATATAAGCAGATGCACCCCCTCATCTTCCTGTAATGGTGGCCCCTCCCACTTTCTGGTGTGGAAAATCCAGATTCCGGTCCTACCAGCTCCTGGTCAAGCAGAGCCCAGACAGGGTCAGGGGCCGAGATCAG